GGGGTGCTTGTTTAACGTGAGTCCCCTTGCCTCTCACTTCGGGGTGCTTGTTTAACGTGAGTCCCCTTGCCTCTCACTTCGGGATGCTTGTTTAACGTGAGTCCCCTTGCCTCTCACTTCGGGGTGTTTGTTTTACGTAAGACTTTTTGCCGATCATGTGTGTACGTGTGTGCATGTGACGAGCACTAGGCTTAGAAGCGCTAATTTTTTTATTTATCCATTTAATAAATGTTCGAATACACTACCATTCTGTTGTAAACATAAACGGAGCCGTTTCTGAAAATTTATAATGGTAGATAACAAAACTCGCCGAGGAATATTATTGCAGGCTCTTTTCATTCTGTTTTTCATATCCTCTCGAGTTGTCGGAGCTTCTTTGTATACTACATTTTTCAAATAACCCCACAAGTAAAAATCTGGTGAAGTTAAATCTGGAGAACGTGGAGGCCACTTTGTAGGGCCGAATCTGCCTATCCATTTTTCATGGTACACTTGATTAAGGTAAGTCGTGACTATTCCAGCCGAGTGAGGCGGTGCTCCATCTTGTTGCCACCACATTCTTCGACGAGTATTGATATCAATCTCTTCTAAAAGACCTGGTAATTCGTTTTGCAAAAGTGAAAGGTATCTTGCACTGTGTACAGAATTGATGTAATTTGTATCTTTATTGTCTTAAGATGTACAGCTATCGGAGTCGGATCAGTAACTGTCGGTTTCTGTGAATTCCAGGGCTGGGTAAAATGCTTTTTGAATTGCATTTAAAATGCCAAATGCAAAATACCTGAAAAAAATGTATTTAAGATGCAAAATGTAAAATGGAGTTTCCAAATCCATTTTAAATGTAAAATGGATAAATAGGTATTTTAAATGGTTTTCAAATGCAAAATGGTTTTTTCTAGTATATGCAGTTTATTTGGTTATTAATACATATTATATATGTTTATTTGATAAACGCGCTGTTTAATTTGAGCAGCAATTGTTTTTCGAAAGTATCATCGTGCATACTTCGACGATTGGGGCGACAAATGATGCTCGCGGACGTCAACGCGGCCATAAAGAAAATTGTTGTTCGGCCAATCACGGGACTTGGTTTCTCTTAAGGTCCCATTTCATCGACGCTACGATTTGGCGTCAAATATAGTCACGTGACTAAATTTACTGATCCGAGTACCCCAGAGTATCATTTTATCCTTGTTTAACATACGGTGAGCAACAAGGATAGAATAATACGCTGGGGTACTCGGGTGGCGTTTCTGAACGCAACTCTTGCGACACGCCAGTCACCACGGCACACTGGAAAAGCTGAGACGGTCTCAACTTTTTCCCCCACTACGTCGAGAAGTCACTAGACCTCATTTGTCGCTGGTTTCTAGCGTCCATGAAATTGCGCCTTTATGCGTCAAGACGCTAAGCGAAATTTGTGAGCGCTTAGAAAAACCATTTACCCATTTTACAAATGGTTAAATGTAATAAAATTTCCATTTCAAATGTAAAAGAGAAATGGTTTTCCAAAAAGCATTTAAAATAGAAAATGCAAAATGCCATTTCCATTTTAAATACATATTTAAAATGGAACCATTTCGAATGGTTACCCAGCCCTGGTGAATTCATCGACAGTCGTTCGGTATATTGGTTTTGCCCCCCTCTACGCTTAATATATCTGAGGTTGTCACCTCTACGTCGTCGTTCGAATATACATACATATACATTATTCGCGTTCCTTCTAACGCTTGTCGCTAACATCCCGCCCACCAATTAACTCACATTAATTCAGTTCAATTTTGTCGTCGCCATCGATGGGTAATTTACACAATTTTGTTATAGGTCGCTTGATTACATTGTTTGCTGTTTTTACAGTAACAACGCGTACTTTCTTATCCGCACCTGGATGTAGTTCGAGCACTCGACCGATCTTCCATTGCAATGGAGGCGCATTATCGTTACAGACTAAAACTATATCGTCGACGCCCAAATTTTCTCTTTGAATGGTCCATTTACATTTTCCTTGGAGCGACGTAAGATATTCAATACTTCATCGCTTCCAAAAATGTTGTGTAAGACGCTGAATCAACTGCCATCGGTCGAGTCTATTAACAGGACTCTCTTTTAAATCCATATCTGGTAATCCCGTGATTGACTGTCCTATTAAAAAATGTGCCGGAGTCAGTGGTTGCAAATCATTTGGGCTCGATGGCAATTGGCACAGCGGTCTGGAATTTAGACATGCCTCAATCTGAACCAAAACCGTGCTGAGCTCTTCGAATGTGAGCACAGTCTCCCCAATTACCCGCTTTAAATGATATTTACAGGACTTGACGCCAGCCTCCCATAGGCCACCCATGTGAGGTGCATGAGGTGGAATGAAGCTCCATTGAATCTCGTTTAACGAGCAATATTCGTTTATGGGCTCATCGAAAGAAGTTCGAATCGCCTGATACAATTCGGCGAGCTCTCGCTCTGCACCCACAAAGTTGGTCGCATTGTCGCTATAAATCTTCCGCGGGCATCCGCGTCTCCCAGCAAAACGACGCAACGCCGCGATAAACGCATCCGATGATAACTGACTAACAGCTTCTAAATGGATTGCTTTCGTAGAAAAACATATGAATAAGGCGATATAAGACTTGTTGGTCTTTCGTCCTCTACCTTTACTCATCGCGGTGATAATCGGCCCTGCATAATCGATACCTACCACAGAAAAAACTCGTCGACAGCTTATCCTATCCAACGGCAATGATCACATGATCTGTGTCAGTGGTTTAGGATTATTTCGAAAACACGTCGTGCATCCCCGAACTACCTTTCGAGCAATATTGCGACCGTTCAATGGCCAATATGTTCCTCGAATGGAAAAAAGCAATGCTTGCGGGCCTGCGTGGAGCATGCGACTGTGTTCCCGTTCGAATAGACAAACCGTGAATCGACATTTTGCAGGCAACAAAATGGGATGCCTTTTTTCGTACTCTAATAACGACTTCTGTAATCTACCGCCCACCCTGAGAACCCCGCTCTGGTCGATAAATGGGCTCAGGCTCGCCAATACGCTGCTTGATTTTACTTGACCCCCATCGGATATGTCCCGCATTTCTTGAGCGAATGCGTGTCGCTGAACATGTTTGATCAACTCTAACCGTGACGAATATATCTCGCCTACCGATAACCGTTCTAAATTCCGCTTCAGAGATCTGAGTCTACAATTCGTTATGAACCGATAACACCATGCTAACGTTCTTTCCATTTTTGTGGCAGATGAAAATTTACATATGATACCTCCAACTAACGATTCACTTCCTTCTCGTATGATCAAGGCTTGCAATTCGCCTTTTTCCTCTGATTGCATGATCTTAACCTCCTGTTCGTTCATTTCACCTTGCCGATATTTCGGATTTTCAAATCGTCCGGAAAGCCATGGTGGACCGTAACCACCATAAAGAGCTCGACTCAAGGTTGCCCAAACTTGTCCCGCGAGAAATCAGATCCGCCGGATTCTCTCTACCTTCTACGTGATTCCAATGATTTTTAGGCAAAATTGATTGAATTTTTCCGATCCTGTTGGAAACAAACGTTTTTTGACGACTAACATCGCCGGCTATCCAGGCCAATACGATCATAGAGTCACTCCATGCGTATACGTTATCGATGGTGATGTGCAATGACTCAATGACACTCTGAACTAACTCGACTAATACTACGGCTCCGCAAAGTTATGGAGAATATAAATCTCGGGATCGTCGTTCCACCCATCGGAGCCACGCGTGATCTGGTACAAAGCAATCGCGACATACTTCTATCCGAATTGTCTACTGTTTGTATATATACGCAAGCCCCGTAAGCCCGCTCGGAGGCGTCGCAAAACGCATGCAAATTAAGAAGACGCGGCCCATCACAACTCATAACGCGTCTCGGTATTCGTATCG